GTACATGTTTCATCTGATTAGGGACTAGTCAAATGGATATAAATGAATCATAGAGTTGATGTTCAGTTTACAACTCATACACAGCACCGTTCTCTTCAAACACAATCTCGTTATTCAATTAACTATCCACTACACATATACACTGTTCTGTGTAATGAGGTCAAGTTTAGTTCAACTCATATTGGTTGTTCAGATATTCTCATTGATATATAGCAATGTGATTGATCAGTCTCTTATATCTGAATTCAAATTCACTTCATTGAATAAGTTGGTGATTATGTGGACTCAGTAGTAAGTGAACAACGAGATTATGTCTGGAGTGAACGGTATTAGGTTTGAGTCCTGAATTGAACACGAACTGTGTGATTCGGGTGAATCCATTTGACTAGTTCCATGTGAGATGGAATGTGGGTCCTGTATTCCTTTGCTAACCACATTGTATCTATTCGTTACTATCTTGTGTCATAATGGTGATGTGGATTCGATCCACACAGATTGAACATATGCCTGAAAGAGACTAATCAATTGAAATCCAAACTCTTACTGTTACCTTTAAACTCTTAACCCTATTTTGAATCTTCATAAGTTTATTAATAATTAATAAAGTGCTATATACATGCTAATTTTTATTGGTTTTCAGTTTTAAATTATTCATTCAGATCACTTGCATTCCGATTGACTAACAATAGGGTGAAATTTCTCAACGTCACTTTTATAGTCTATCAAAATTGTCAGTATAGTATAGTTCCATCAGTGAAATTCAACTCGTTTCCAAAACTAACCAAATATTCAATATTATAGTTTAATCTAATTAATTCTTAATCATACAGTATCAAGAATAAAATCTACAACGTTTCTGAATTTAATAAACACTGAAGACAAATGGAAAGGTGAAACACTTAGATATATGTATACAGTTATCATATATAAGAATAATGCAACAAACAAAAGAAAACTACAGAAAAAATTTAATAATCATAAATAATCATTAATAGGAATTAAAAGCGCGTAATAATAGTAATTGTCACAAAAATAACCAAAGTAATAATTATTATTCAGACGATTACAAAAATAAGACCGATCAGTGGTGAATGCTCAAACTTCTTTCTTTAAATTTTAGACTAAAATTCTAATTAATATGTGCATAAAACAGCGGATAGCTTGTGTAGCAGTTATGAATTTTATTTTGAAGGCGTTTGTCCTATTTCATTGTTGATGTTAATAATCATAAATAATCGTTCTATTTTTTGGACATACATCTGAACTCATTAGGTGAACGGTTTACTCATTGTCTTTTAAAAAGAAAGGTACAAGATTTGACAGCTAGTATGAACACTGAGACTCAAGTATATCCAAATGACTAATTGTAAATGGGACGAAACTAGTTCACTGAATTCTACTAACAACTATTATCCAACTTAAATAGAATTATAACTGAAAGTTTACTGACTTGTTTAAAAACGTTCACTTTTTGTTCTCACAAGAAGTTTGTATATAAAATAACCGAGTCGATTAATACGACAGTGATGAATTGTAAATGCGATTTTATCCCTCCACCTTATCTTTTTTTACAGAAATGCACAAATATAATTAGAAAACATCTAGTCTATGGCTACAGAAAATTATTGTTGAATGGAGATAAATTTATTTTAATTTCTTTGAATTCTTCCATTTATTTATAAAATCTTTATTGTGACATTTCTCTCAATGACCAATCGACATTTTAACATATTAAAATGAATGTTTGAATGAGCTGTATCATAAACCTGACTTCTAAAACAATCACTCAAGGTCCTCTCTTTTACAAATTATGAATAATCTTTCTTATTACATCCGTTAATCAGTTTATTATATATAACATCAAATTTCTTTAGATTGAAGATGCCACAAGTATTTGGAGTTTGACAACGCTTTAAGCAGTAACACTTATTATGAATCGTACCCACCTAGTAAAATCAAGTGTCAGAAGCGAGGAGGTCCGAAGATATATTTGATAGGCTATCAATATATCAAGAATTGACTAATCTAGGCTGACTAGCGATTGCAGGGAATGTTGAGCATGGCGTCCTCACTCATGATCTGGTGCGGATGCATGACCGAGAACCTTCAGATAGGTGATTCCATTAAAACTAATTTGGTCAGCATCCAATGTCGAAGACTTACAGAGCTATTGATTTTGGGGATTTATTTACCGTTACAATATCATAGAGTAAGTATCTAGTCTCCAATTCATAAATGTGGAATTACTTATACAGATATATTATTAGCCAAATGAAAATTACATTATGAAAATAACCATATACTTTAAACGGCTTGCTCCACCAAAAGAATAAGAATATTCAGAGTATGTTGGAATATGAGTCGATATTCGGGAGTAGCAAAGTCTTTACATTTCACCAACCAATGAGTTAAAACATTAATTTATAATCTAATCACTTCCTATAAATATGGGCTTATAGAAGTAAAGAAATAACCGCTTAAATTAATGATGGAAAACATTTCCACCTTTTTCTAACCAACCAACTCAAATTTATTTTCCGTTTGGTGGTCCCATCAATTTAAAGATAGTTTTTATTACATATTTTATAGTTATCGACCAGTGGCATTAGAAGATAGTTGCGCATAATCGCGAGTTGGTCGAAATTAGGAACTTAGTGTACTAGATATCCACTCAGTAGTCAGAAGGTTGAAACCTGGATATCCTGGTTCAGATCTCTGGTAGAGTCGCAAATAAATATTCATGAGAATTCCATACAAAGAAAAAATAATTGTATTGTGCTTCTTGGTACTCAATAGTTGTCTAAGGTTAGTTTATATTGTGAACTATGAAATTCAACAATATTCACAGACTCTTTACACTAATATCTATGGATTGTCAAACATTTGATAGACCATAGAAATATCAATGAACACTAAATAATTATTTTGTTCACCTTAGTATTGTCACTCTTATAAAAGAACTCATCAGCAACACTACGAGGGGTGGGACCCAAGATCTTGAGGTTTTACAACAAGTAGACTTAAAACTAGACTAGAATAATTGATCCATTGTTCTTTGATTTTTTTGGTTTTTTTACAGCTTACATTAGTTCGTGATGAAACTTACCCTGGAGAATGTTACCTTTGGATACATTAGTTAGTCGAGTTGTTTTGTATTCAGTGTATTCAAAATAATAATACTGAAAGGTAAAGTGATTTAAGGTTTAGTGGCTAAATTTTATTTGATCGACTGACATAATTCTATACAACACTGGAAATAAAATACTAAACAGTGTTTGTTATGCTTTAAAATAAGATATTAGTGTGTATCTTTTAAAATTGATCAATCATATTTTCACTCTATTATCTATAAATTGTTTAGTTTATGACTGATCACGTTAAACAAACGGATCTTGGAATCAAAGTGAATGTAATCCATATTTTAGGCTTGCTTGGAATACGAAAGTTTCACTGGAAATGAGTTAACGGTCAGAAGTGAAGTAACATCAATGGTTGATCGTTATGATGACCTTCACTTCCATCTTCGATCAATTACACATTGAAGCTAAATTTCTCGTAAATAAGTGACAGAGTTCACCAACATATATATTCAACTAATTAGTCGATGTTTTTGTTTGCTGGAAACTATTCGCTTTGGAGTAAATAAATTTGAGTTTAGGTTAAAAGAACAAACCCACTAATAAAACTACAAGCACTCGTTAACTTATGAGGTTAGCATGTGCGCAACTCATCCCCAGTGTGAAATATCGGCCGTATTTATTTAAATACATAAACATTGCTACAAAGGGGCACCAAATATATATACGCCATACAATAACAATTAGGCCAGTAGTAGTTATCATTGACTTGTGTGAGGGCTGTGATACTACCCGGGTGCCAAAACTGAGACTGGTGGTTTTATTAGGGGGCAACACCAAGAGCCTTTCACCCGAAGGTCTAATACACAAGGTAGTGGAGCAACGTAAGGAGATACAGTCACATGGTAGCCAACGACCAACAATTGGTCCACACGACATTTGTTCCTTCAGGATACTGGAGCTGATCTGCACCATCTGTTTGGAATCAGGGTCTCCCAACTTCCCTAGGTGGACCCTACATATCTACCAACCCGGTCGAATAACCGGACATTCGTTTTTCCTCCTCTCAATTTCGTAAAATACACTTGCGCGTCAGAAGGCAGTGAGTAGGACTTCTCTGAAAGTGATTGTATGCTCCTAGCCATGTGAGAGCATTTTTGAGATGTAGAGCTGACTCTGTCCCTTCTTAGCCGCAACAGGGTATTTGAGGGCTTATCAGCCGACATGGGAGTGGACCGCAAATATGAAGCCACTGAGTCCTGATCTGAACCATGTGAGATGATCCGAACCTCCTTGTTGAGTCTTATGAGATGCTTTTAATCAATGGTTTGAAAAAATGAGTGACACGGCTCAAAACCTGTCACAGTAACCCAGTTGTATTCATTTTATACCGCCCGTTAAATCTGGAGTTATATATCATTCGCATCGTTTATTGACTCTATCATATTTGTTCCTTTATAAACTGTATTTCTTATGCTTAAATTTCTATTGGTTTCGTTATTATTTCCCATATGTTTGTCGGGTTTTTGACTTAAAGTTGCTGTACTGACGGACTAACCACTTGACGATTGATGCATAGAGTACAAGAAAGAATGGTAAGGTAAGAACAATCATTGACGTCTTGTAATTTGTCCGAATTCCAGATATAATTTTAGCACGAAAATTATATTCGAAAAAATCGCGTAAGGCAAAAAGATACATGAAGAGCTTGACTCCTAAACACTTCCAGGGGTGTTTGGAACACTGAGTATATTGTCATAAATGGGGAGTATTTTTAAGGAGATATGGATAAGATACCTGAAATTTGATAAGACCACGTTTTTGTAACCTTCATTCATGTATATTTTCACTGAACAGATTCATATGACTAGCTCATCATAATTTCCCCAAAACCAATTAACTAACAACAAAATAGTAGTAACTGTGTGCTCAACTTTTTCTCAAATGTACAGAGAAAATACAAAGCAAAAAGAACAGTCCTATATTTCGATTCACTCGTTTATTTATTTTTGCGATCAATAGGAATTCTATTTTAGTTTCACAGACGAGAAAGTAAAGGGGAACTAATTACATACATGCATATCTCTAAAAAAAATTAAAAAATGTATAGGGATAATAATAATAATATAAATCGATAAACAAAAGTAGAACCTATTTCCTTTAATAAAGGAGGGTTTTTCTCGACTATAAAAGTGTTGTTCGTTGTCCTCCACCTTGTTTGTTGAAACCTACCGACGTAAAAAAAAATCAGCCAAGAATAGTAGTAATCTGCTTTATGATTTGTTCTTTTGAGAAAAAAAAAACAGATTTACCCCTAAGTGTATGTGTATAATGTGTATAAATATATAGAAATATAAATATGTATATAACACTAATAACAATAACAACGTATAAACAAATATGATAGGTATAAAGAGTACTGTTCAATGTAACAAAATGCAAGTATTTGTATTGAATAATCAGTGCATAAGAATGTATCGTTTTTTTAATATAAAAAAGATATAAGAGACTACACAATCCAATCAACTAAGGGAACCGGTTGAAAAAAAAGTTGGTCGAGAAGAAATCTCTACTTCAGTATAACAACATCAGGATTCAATTAAAGGCAATAATAATAATATAGAATAAGAAAGTAGAAGAAAAATTCAAATTTGATGAACAATTTGGTCGAAAATATGTTTCTGTTCGAGAACAAAAAGGAACGATCAAAAAGAAATTGTCTAGCAGTTCATTGAATCATTCATAATTTTATTGACAGTCAACTGATTACCTGCCACTTCGATATTTTGATTGGCTGACAAAAAATCATTCACAATGGCATACGATGAGAATCGACCAATCGGAAATGAGTAAATATATTGAATCAATGTTCAAGGCTACATAATATGAGATGATGAATCGACATTCAGAAGAGTGGAGAAATCAATCTGAAGTACCATGATGATGGATAAGAAGAGATGATCAAAGTAGTTTATGTGCGAACAAATAAAAATAGTTTGTTTTCTTTCATACATTTATATCTTATTATTCACTCTCAAAAAGTATTGATATTGTGGGTGAGATAAATTTAATATAAATCTTTGCCCTGTTTTTGTCGTTATTTTAGGATTTGCATTTCTTCGTCTTAAACTTATTAATATTAAGCATATAGTTAAAAAAAAAAGAACGGAAACACACAAATTTGTCCTTAGTCTTGAAATCTATGCATTATATTCGGGATAAATAGATGGTTGATGTTTTAATTTAGTACTGCGTTTTTTGAAAAGATCATTTGTTTAGTTATTAAGACGAACTATTACGTTTAAAATTCTATCATTAAAAGATAGTTTAATTACTATCCGAATCCGATATGCCAATTTCCGCCATACAGTTAGACGAATGACCAGTTTCAATTGTCCTTGCTTCTGAACAATTAGAACTTTGTTCATCGGTAGAGTGAAATAGAAGCATTTGAGATGTTGAAGACTGATGGTGATGGTAATAATAATTATGATGGTAAGGATATATATAAGACGATGGCAATGTTGACAATTGAGTAGAGGGAGTTAATTGACAAAATCTTGCAGTATGATTGATACTACCAATAGCAGGAGAAAAAGAAGAGAAAGAGGAGGGGAGAGACAGAGCTGAATTCCTAAGATCAGATTGATTAGATCCATTTACATAATAATGATTATGTGGAGGAAATATAGAGTAATTACCAACAACGGCCCCACTATCATTGTTATTATTATTACTATGCCTTAATATACTTTGTCTGGAATAAACGGTACATTGATTTGAGGAGTTTATTGACGGATTAGCAATATTCTCTGGTGGATTTGTATTGTTTTGCGGTGACGGTGATTGACCAATAATTAATCGTATAGTTCGTAATACATAATCGACTGTAAATGTAAACAATGGAGATAGATTCAATGAAAATCTCCAAAATGCTTGTATACAGTAATTTGCTGTTCTAATTCCATAATTGAATAAGATCCCGGTTGTCTGTTTGATAAAGGAAAAAACAATACGAAAATGTTATATATAGAACTACATTGGACATTATTATTGATAATAAAGTTGAATGAATCTATATATTTCATATGGCCAACCAACGCCTAACTCGATCTACGTAGTTTGTCCTTATATGAATGGGTTGGAAGAAAGCTATGGAGAGGGATGAACTAAGACATAATACCAGTCTCTGAAGTCAATCACTATTGGGCTGAAGTGCAAACTTTCTAATTGGAATCTGTGCTATAACCGAGATCAGTAATTGATGCTAACCTATATTTTGTTTACACCTAGTTGCTGAGTTTCCAAGTTCTACACTGCTTACAGCTGACTGACTGAATAAATACAAACAATGATAAGCTCTTCTCATGGGATTTTTTTAAAAATGACTTGTGAATTCAAAATTATTTTGAGATTGTCTACATATAATAATAATAATAATAATAATAGTAATTATTATCATTACTATTATTTTGAATTGAATAAATGTTTATATGGGTAATGTTAATGAACTTGGCGCCAGACAATTAAATAGTTGTTTTTTTTGTCGAATACCCCATTTAGTAAACTTAAGAGTTAACTACTGAGAACAGGTGAGAATAAATGTATTTTAATTAAATGAATAGTTATACCCTAGTGAATTAATGTGTAACCTATTAACCAGTAAGTATATTATGAAACATTTGTTTGTGTTTTTTTAAGAACATTACAAACTTATAACAATGGTATAATATCATTAGTGTAACAGTTTGATAATTCTCTTCTCTTTGTTGATTATTTCCTGTTGACATTGTGGTGTATGCTACTTATGTTTGTAGATATAAGTAGCATGCAACATTAGTCGGAAGTGGAATGTCTGCGAGAAAAAGGCTGAGAGAGAAAAGGAAACTGAGAGCAATCAAGATAACGGAAATGAAAGAACAAAGGAGCTTGTAAGAGACAATTCGAAGGTGTGCAAATGATGTATTTGATGTATGATTCTCACATTTTACTAAACTACTGTGTGATTGTGCACTAAATAAATTGGCCTTACCCACTTGAATTCACATTCACTACAATATGATAAACCAATTGTTAATAGTCTGAAGTCAATATTATCCACTAATCATCAGAAATTATTCCTGAAAAAAATACTGTTAAATTATTTCACACTTTAAACCAATCAAATTATATGTGTTAAATTCAGTTATTCTCACAGCCAGATTAATTAAATTCAAGAGGAACTCACTTCTATATAAAGCATCACTGACATGTGTGTGTCTAAATTAACATTGAAGTATTCGCCAATTTAAAAAAAAGTACACACAATTTCAAATAACCATTCAATTTTAAGAGTCAATCATGATAAAATAATTTAATTATCGAGAAAACTACATTTCAATAGTTGAGATCATGAGTGAATTGAAGCCAAACCACCATGGAACCACTGGACGGTCGTTTCATCTTACTGTGGGACTCCTCAGCAGTGCCCACCCACGATTCCGCCTAATTTCAACTGCATATATATCCTGGAATTCTAGTGAGAAGCAGGGACCAATGGAGTTCAACTGGGTCTGTTGTGAAGTAGTAACTCACTGATGACAATGGTGGATAGGTCGCTCAATTTCGTGGATTAGTTGGAGTTAAACATTAACACCGTTGGATGCCGGCCAGCTCATTGGTCTAGTTGTTAAGCGCTCGCGCGCGAGACTGATAGATCCTGGGTTCGAATCTCGTGAGCCGGTTCGTGGATGCGCACTGCCGAGGAGTCCCGCAGTAGGACGGAACGGCCTTCTAATGCTTCCAGGTTTTCTATGGTAGTCTAGCTTCAAATGACTCATGATTTCAACTATTGAAATTACTACAATCTCCACAAAACCCCCTCTAAAACTACATTTGTTGAATTAAATATTTATTTTCTCTTTGTTATAAATAATCCTTGTTAAATTTCATAGTTCTTAAATTGCTACTACTAATTAAAAGTAATAATTTAACAATATTTGAATGTAATCCAGTTCACTGAAGATAACATTCAAAAATATAGAATTCTTGGATGAATTCATACTGGTGCCTAATTGTCAGTTAAAAATATTGATACAAGATTTTTATTTCTAACAACTACGTCACTGTATACAAGACCAATTTAATTTTAGTGAAGTGGGTTTATGAAGTTTGTTGAATTTTTATAGCTTACATTATGGACAAGCATTCGAAACTAACAAGCATTGAATAACTGTTTCATTTTAGTGTGAAAATCTTTTTATTTATTTATTTATTTGAAGACATAAATATTGATACTCATTGGAGCTGAATCTAGAACAAAGATCAATTCGTTGTGTGAACTACCAGATTTTGATTTACTGGCTCAATTACGCTGTGTTTATCGAGAGACATGAAGGTTATAAGTTCACTTTTGTGTGTGTAGCCCTAAATATAAGCGCGCCTATAAAAGTTTCAATTTAAAATGAATAACACTCTTTAGTTATCAGTAATTTTTCACTGAATATCAGTTCATGACAAAAAATCATCTTGCAATTTGTTACAGATAATATTCTCCATTTATAAACAAAACTCGCTTTTGAGGAAACTTTTATTTTGACAACTGAAGTCATCTGCAACGTCTTCAACATCCAATGACAAACGTCTCGTTCAGTAGGTGCATACTGTACAGTAAACTGTAATTTTCAAAAGAGATTTTATTCAAAGCATCTGAAATTATCCACAACTGTTTGCTATGGATAAATCAGTGTACAGTGCAGTAGAAAATGCTGGCTAAAAAGCACAACTGTAGTGAAATTTAGAGCTTGAATTGAAATCTTTGATAAAAATCCCACTGTCATATGTAGTACTCAGTCATTGAATGAATTGGAAAATGATTAAAGTTGTATTAAAACACAATACATTCATTGAACATTGAAAACAGTCAGAATAATCTCTTAACCAAATAGACAACTCACACACTTTTCAAAACTGTTGCTATCTCATCTTAATTTTTTTTTAAATAATGACAAACGACTAAATTAAAATTAATTACAATAATTCACTTTACTTTTTTTTATCAAACCATAATACACTATTGAAAACTTGTAAAAATGTAAAAGATTTCAAACAAACAAAAATACATAATGAAAGCAAATCTTATACTTGACTTTTAAGGTTAAATTTCAAGGTTACATTTGTATCACATGATACTTGTTTTATGCGTAGATTTGTATACATAAACAGAAATTTTACCAGCGTATATCTAACTATATATGTACTATCTTTTACCTGAGATGATTGACTATTTATCTAGATAATGGGTAGTGTGTGTGTGTGTGTGTGAATGACTAAGTGAGTCATAGTCATATCAAGTTATTGATTCGGTTCATATATTGTAAGAAATTTATTCTTCTGTACTTTAACAAAAATTAGTAAAGATGAGTTACAAGATAGGAGGTATAGGTAGGTAGGTAAGTAAGTTGATAGGTATGAGTAATCCAATGATATGAGATAAACACATATATATTTGAGATATTTATCAGAACAGAACAATCTCCGTCTGTGGAAGCATAAGACTTAAATAGTTTTATTAAATAAAAATGGAACAAAGTTATTCAAATGTTAACTATCCTATTGCTCTAGAGATCATTGTCTCTATGTCGACAATGCTTGAACTAATAATGGTCAGGAGTGTGAGGTAGATGGACGTGTCGACCACTTTTATTTATCTTGCAAATTTAATCAGCTTTGAGTAGGTTAGTGTCTGATGAATAATAGGTAAGGATTCAGAAAGCTTGTTTAGTTCTTTCTAGTACTCCGCGTGTATGTTGAGACTACTTAGTGAGAAATGTCGAGGTTAGATGTGGGGTAACAGTCAAAGATGGTAAATTGATTCATAAGATCGGATATTATCATCAACTGAGGTGACTGGGACATTTTTTAAGTACTTCCAACCACCTCCTACTTTGATGTATATTGTTGGGTAGTATTGTGGTGGATTGGAAGAAAGTTAAGAACAGACAAATCAAGACATGACATCTATCTATGAAGCCATTGATTATTCGTTGGTCCAGCTTCTGATCTCCACTACAACCATGACTAATGTGATTGGAGATGGTGACTGGTATGGCTCAGAATCGGTCGCAATAACACAGATGCATTCGCTCTATGTCTTTCCTTAGATCCTAAGTTTCGAAATTAGTTTATACTCTTCATTCTGCATATTTGCGATTCTTCAAATACCTTCTCCATGATTAATTTGTTTTACTGCCGCCGATACTACTAATTTCACCTCGATATGCTGAGGTAATGTGCCAACTTGGACTAATGCATATATGTACGTTCGGTCAGTCACAACGCATAACTTGTATGTATGTACAGCGTTTCAAGTTCCCATGCCTTATTAGCACAGAGAGATGAAGTTCTCAGGCCAAATCCCAGAATAATAGAGGTAGTAACAGTGTCAGTGGTAATAGGAAAGATTAGGTATTGAAGATAAGACTCGAGAAGAAAATATAAGTTCGTGAAATAAAAATGAAGAAAATTATGAGGAATATAGAAGTTCATAATTTGGGGGAAATAGAGATTGAATATACTTGCGCCATTGTAAATGATTTTGAGCCATGTCATTCACAGTCTCTAACCATTGGTTACGATAATCATGCGGACCCCGACCAGATATGGATAGATTCAATTGTTAGTGACTTCATGAACTGATACCATGTTTTTATTTGGCTGTCCCTAGCCTTTTTTCAGCTTGATCTTACACCACACAACATCGATTTCTACGTTACTTATGACTGACTGATAGATAAGTCTATGACAAGTGGGTGGAAAAAACTAAAACAACGAAAACACATATAATAGTACTGAATGCATGTGATTAGTCATTACTATAGGTTGAGGGAAGTTTACTATTTATGGAGAGGAAGATTTTATCCAGTCGGATAATAAGATTGCTATTACTACTAACAACATCACAGTAGGCTAATAAACTACCAACCATTGATAATTGTGAATAAAAAAGACAATATTAGTAAGTGCAAATCTTGTTTTCTTTCCGTAAAGTGAAGAATTTTGAAAATGTATCAGACTTCAGGGAGGTCTTTGTTTGGACTGGTCAATGTGTCTAATCCAAACTAATTTACCACTAAAAGGTACACATATACATACTTAGATTTGAGTTAAATGTTTTGTATAACGATTAGTAATATCGCTTTGGTTATATAAACCCAATGTAGGGTGTCAAAGCAGGGTTCGAGTGACATACAACAATTATTTCATATTATTACATTGATTCCTATGTTTGTTTCTTTTCATCTTATTAATTTCTCCCCTCAATGTTCCAGTGGTAAGACAAAGTGTATATTAATAAATTGAGCCAGTGTACATTTATTGATTAATTTCAAGTGAAATCACAAAACAATCCAGACATCAGAAATGTTGGGGAGATCCAGAATATTCTTTGAAAATAGTTCAGATAGGTTGTAAAATCTCTGGGATACATTTTATCCAATCAGCACTGAATATAAGTTTTTCAGAAACACCTAGAAAGTGAATAGTCACGTGTCACATTTCTGATTGGATGATTACTTATCCTGCTGCTATTTTTAGCAGGGTTCCATAACCTTCCAGAAGTCCAGGATCATCTGCGATGCTGAGAATACCTTCAGTTTTCTATACAAAAATGAACCCTGAAGTAAAGCCTTCTTTCTATATTTCGCGCCTTTTCTCTCGTGTTCAAGTTGTCGTGTAGATTGAGCCTGGAGTTGTTAGATGATCTTAGGAAACCGATTCAAGCGTTCAGTCACATTTATCAAGAAATATCTTACAAAACCAACTTTAACTTTCTCAAAATAATCATCATGTCAACAAACTCCGTCGACTATAATTTATGCAAGTTGATTATTAAATAGACCAGAAGTTCATTTTACAACAACTGATTGTCATGTACAATTGGAATATTTGTTCAATTCTCATTCAGTAAATATTGTTTCAATTTTGATTTAATTCATCTCTGAAGTTTATTAATAGTTATAGACTAAAGTAGAAATGGTATTTATAATTGATAAACTCTAAGGGATTTGTGACGATTCCACACAAAGAAATGTATACAAGTTTACAGAAATTGTATTTTACAAGTTGTGATTCAATCAATCATAATTTTTGTGTGGCAATCAATGATTAAAACTTAGATGATATAATAAAACACAATAATTCAGGATTAAAACTACCAGATCTCAGCTCCTCATTAGGTCAATTAACAGGTTTCTTTTTCAAAGTTAGTTGGATGCTTCACAAACATTTATGAAATTTTAAAGTGACTTTTTGCATAAACTGATACCCGACAATGAAGAATCGTTAAATATCAGGAAGTATTGGGTAGATGTTCTGGTGTTTGTTTGGAACTCAATGGTAATATGTCCAGTTTCACAACATAAAACAAAGGACTGAATAGAGCACCTGCATATCTTGTGGAGAGCACAATACTGCTAAATCACTGAATCAGATCAGTACTCTATGTGTTTATGAATGTACAACACAGTGAAAAAGATACTAACTAAAACAAAACAGTTATTCAGTCCATCCTATATTTTAAGGATTGTTTAGACTAAGTCAGCCATACCTTTCAACAATTTATAACAGTATCCAGGTGATGATAAGTCCTAATTAGTATAAAACTAGTGTACAACTCCGATTCCAATATTAGGCAGAACTCAGACGTATATAAAAACTTGTAACAAAAAGTTATATCGAGCTATCCACTAAATATGCATATATACATACCATCAAGGACTTAAAAAAATTTGGTGAAGAAGATCAACAACGAGTTATTACAATCTCTTTACACATAACAACTATTTATATGGTAACATGTAGTCACCAGACTGATAGAATTTAGCGCAATAATGAAAACCAGGAAATACAGGCGAAGTTCATATACATGTCAGAAGTGAAATGGTTGTCATCAGTGGCACTGGATAATGATTGCACCATATCGCAAATTTATTGAAGTTGGAACAGTACCACTGGACGCCAGTCCGGTGGAATTAGTTTTCAAGCATTAGCCAAGACGCCTGAAGATGTTCGGTTCAACAAACGCTATCTGGGCCGCGGTTACGCATTCCTATGAAGTTTTATACTGGGAAACAGGGGCTTTCCAATACTTTCTGGTTCTTAATGGCATCCCCCTCCTGGGGTGAGATCCATTTGTGAAAAATATCAGCTACAAATTAAATTGATCTCCATAAAACGGCTTCAAACGAAGTATTTATTTATTTGCTAAAAATCATATCATAACTTACCAAATTATACCGCCCCGATTGATTTCTTCTTGAATAATCTATCATTAATTCATCTGCAACATAAGCCAAACGTCTCGCTAATAAACTTGTATGTTGTATTGGATTAATCGATGTAGACGAGAAATTCATGTTTGCTCCACCGTTGTGAATGAATTGTGGTACAGTTGATAAATTACAATGATCACAGTAATAATGGTGATCTGAAGGTTGTTGATGCCGATGATATTGACAGTGAGAATAATTTGGATTAAAACCTAAAGTTGTTGATGATGTTGGCTGTAGAAGTGGAACAGATGAACATCTTGGTTGTAATAATACAGAATGATGAAGTGAAGTTATATTTGATGTAATTGTAATAGTATCATTATTATTATTCATATGTAACCCGAATCGGGGTACAACATCAGGCATAGGTGTCGATTGTAATGTCGGTATACTATCATTATGACTATTCAATTCATTTAAATCATTTGTCATTGTTGGCATGGTATTCATCATGGGGGAAGTGGGTAATGAAATGATGGAACAGAGAGGAGCGACTACAGAGAGATAAAGAAGAAACGAACAGAAATTAACGAAAAAGGTGAGTGTCCCCGAGAATATATGAAAGCAAGTTAGTGTTAAGTCAAACGCCAGTGTATTTAGATTAACATGTAACCTGTTTGCAAGTCATTTGATGAGTTAATAAATCTTTATTGATTAGGGTGGTTGAGATATGTATTATGTATAACCTAACCGCAGAAAACTTCAATGAATGATGTTGGCTGGTGTAGGAGTAAGTTTGAAAAAAATTCAAAGGCCCTTAAACTAAGACGTGGTATCAGTTCATGAAGTAAATTACCGTTCGACTGAGCCGTGTTGGTAGATTCGGACTATCTGGCTATGGTCTGAGAGATTATCGTTGGAGATGCTAAATAACATGTCTTATAATCGGTTACAGTGATGCAGAGGCATCCACTCTTTGACTTCTCCTACATCTTAAGTTTAAAAATTGTAGTATACTTTTCTTTCTCTAAATTTATCCTTTCTTCTCTAAGTACATAATGTGTATGTCTAATGTTTTCTACTACCACTGATATTGTCATTGCTTCTACTACTCGGACTTTTGTCTTGGCTATGTCATTTAAATGTACCGATTTAATATGTTAACTTGGACCGACGGACACATTTGTCAGGTTCCACATTGCTTATGACTGTGTCTCGATTAAAATGTGAATTTATTGAATTGATGAGCTTCAACCTAGGCGAAATATGTATTCATTGCTATAAAAGTACAGTTTTGCAGCCAACGTATCTTTCCTTTATTATAAATAAGCACAAAAATAATAAATTAGTTAATTTAAGCGAGTACATCAATAAGTGAAGAACATTATAAACCCTACTCACCCTCCTACTTGTGATATACTGCTCAAACTTACAAATCAACTTATTTTTTTTTAACTGCGCATAAATCTCCTTGTTTTGAATTTATCTCAACTAAATAATGATGGATAATGGTTTGAGGGTTTTAAGTGAAAGTTACTGCGGTTTGAGTTCCAGTGTAATGAATATCAACACTGAGGTACAGGTATATCAAGCTAACAAGTTCATAAAACAACATGTCCAATAATTCAATCAAAGGTCGACAAGTACTCCTTCTTATGCTACAGTTAAATAGGTCTGTAAATTTACGTATACCTGCCAAAGTAGCTACATTGGTCGAACAGAAAGGAGGGAATATCTTAGGTTATATGAATATATTTCCGAAGTCGTCGAACAAAAGAAGAAGTATCACAATTACTATACATATCATGAACACAGGACATCAGATCGGTACCTTGAAATCTATCAAAGTGAGTAGTAAGCAGCCAGTCTTCTTAGTTTTGCTGAAGCCATTGCTATCAACAGTCAGAAACTTGATTTATGTGTTCAGAAGAGATGACTGTTAATATTTCTAAGACATGATGACACAATTGTTTCTTCATTACATCATAAAATTTTGTTCAACCCTTCCACTTAATTACTTCGTTACGTCTGTCTTTTAGACTAATAATCTTATGTTAATTAACTGAACTTTACTCATTTTATTTTTATTACCAGAGTTTATTCACATTACGTAACCATTTATTTCTTGTTCTTCGAACTTTTGTTACTATCAATGTTGTAGAATGCTCTTTTACATAAATACATATGCACAATATTTTATTTGGCACATTAAATTTGTTGATACCCTTTTTATATAATACTGATGTGTCATCCCATTAGCTTCTAACTAAACTCTTTCATTCAAATAATTTAAACTCAATTTGTAATTGGAATTGTTTCAATGTTCCAGGTTACAGGCAGATAACGAGAACCAAACGACATAAAATGAAACTGAACGTCCTGTGTTCGACATCCACGTCTGGGGTTGTGGACGCTCACTGCTGAGGCATCCCACACGTTAGGACGAAACGGGGTCCCGGGGCTCTCAGGTCCTCAATGGTGGTTTAAGACCAGTTCGTAATTTATAAACTGTGATAATCTTACAATCTCAACAAATTCTCTACACTAATGATAAAATGAATCTCGGTTACTCTGCCACAATCTTATGTAAAATGCTTAACCTTCAGGACCACTGGATGTACACTTGTGACAAAATAGCTGTTCAGTGCTTTCTAATTTTTAATAGTACCTCAACTGAGATCAATCTATAACGAATACAGCCTACAAATTAAAATGATCTCCACAAAATTCTACTTTAACTACAATATCAAATAATTAGCCTTTATTGTATAACACTCATATCAATCATTTTTGAGATGATTAGTAGCTAGCTTAAGAGAAGGACGATCTTGGAGTTGTTATGCTCGCTGAGCTGGGGCTCATTAACAAATATCTACAAAAATGACATTATAGATAAATTCAAGTCAATCTCTTGACATTATTTAAGTAAACCCTAACTTTTCGTCTGATCACATCTCTTTTAATTAGAATTCACATAAAGGAATGGGAAACACTTTGAATAAATCACTTAATGAGGCAATATTTTGTGGAAAATTTCCATATACTTTGAAAGTAACTTTAATTACAGACTCTATCAGTTGGAGAAATATTGGATACTACGGATCCTTGGACATTTGTTTCGTCTCAGTATGAAACTTCTCATGTGTAGGTATTCACGAACGCACTAGATATCGAACTCAGGACTTACAGAACTCACAGAGAGCTTGTGACCTTCATATCACTGAATCAGTATTCAATAGATGATATTTTTAACTTTAATCACTCTGTGATATTGCTCAAGCATCATTCTAAGGCATTTATTAGTAACCGTCTCACCACCGACAGGGTTGAACTCCACTAGTTACAGCTTCTCATCAAAATCACGAAAATTAATCCTCGAAATTAGTTACTAGTGATCATATGATTCAATTTCAACTAGATATTCGAAATGAATCGAGATTACTGAATAAATTAAAATCCCTAGGATACAATTATCTGTGATTGCGGTTTGAGTTCCAAATAAGGAATTTTTTTCTAAGGTACCAAACAATTTCTTAGTTTTTAGTGACACTTAATTGATTATAATATCAGTCCATAATGAAAACTATTGTAAAATCAACGTGAAATCTCGTCATACAGTCTCTAATCTAATTAATATTAAACACATTTTCTAAATATAGTAGTTTGTTTTCCATATAGACAAAATCATCCAATGCATTGTTGTCTTTCCCTAACACACACACTTATGGGGTAAGAGAAAAAATAGAAATGGAATAAAATCATTTCTACTCACCCCTTTAGTTGGAAGAAAAAGACTCATTGTGTTAATGAAAAATTCTTCACCAAAAGAATGAAATTCTTTCTTCTTTTTTGCCTTAGATGACAATGACGTTACTATTACCATAATAGCTTATTTAACGAAAAATCCAATTGATCAACACAATATTCAGTTCAAACAAAATTTGGGATAGGGGTACATATTTGTCTAGTTTTTTTACATATAAAGTCATAGCAACCGTACATGAAATAATGGAATGAAATATACATTTAGTGTTGCTATGTTATACATAGATGATTTTTTCTCAATATTACTATCGTCATTAATACTACCACTTCGTGACCCTCTATACCGAAACTGAATTCATATTCAATATATATATATATATGAAACGTCAACGTTATCTACTCAGATTAGATTTTTACGAAAATAAGCCGAAAATATAAAAACATATGTTCACCTGTGTGAATGTATATCTCCATGTATGTGTATATTAATATATGTATGTATAAGTAGAAAAAAGTAACCATACACGTTGATGAATAGAGGGAGGGAAGGTGATAATCAGATTGTTATAAATAAACAAAAAATAATGATGAGTAATCAATGTAAATTCCTTTAAGAAAAATAAATCCTCCAATAAATATCATCGTCATTATCAACATCATACTCTAAAATGTAAAAAGACGTTACCATTATACTACTCATCTACTGACCATCTTGTTTTCTTTAAAAGAAAGTGGTTAGTGAATGTTAAATTTATTATTAGTTAAGGTCATAAAAATGAAAGATTTTTGTTTTCGAAAAAAGTTTTGACCTGAGATGATATTAGATGATAAAAAAGAAACGTGTCACTTTGTTATAAAGAGGATAAAAGTAAACACTTTTTGGAAGAGGAAAATTACTAACACAAACCAGTAACTACTATTCTACAGATTTCATTAAAAAAACAGCGATAATAATCATGTGTTAGTTAGCGGTCGATTTTGAAAAGCCATTACCACAGTGCTAGCGAGAAATTGTAACTAGTGGAGTGTGGGGCAACTAGCTACCTCCCCACATCAATGACATTGGGAAATGGTTGAGTAATATCACAAATCGATTAGTCATATGTGTAAAATGTCGGTTAAGCGATCGTTGTGAGAGGTTCAGGGTTTGATCCTTCGTGGGGTCATGGGTATACACTGATGAGGTTCCCCATACCAGGACGAAACACTTCGCTAGTGCTTTTGCATGGTTGACCAAGATTAGCTCGTGATTTAAACCATAAAACTAATATTAAGTCGAGATTTAGTGAGCTCTTTCAGTATGGTACAACATGTACATGAACGGCAACAAACGGAGGAAAATGGTACACAAACCCATATAAACTGATGGCTGAAAGTTTTATGATGAAATAACTAAGTAGTAATTAAACCTCTTTAAAAATAGGAGTCAGCAATGGAATTCAAAATGCGCATTCCTTCTTATTTGGGATTCTTCATACACAAGAGTCCGGCCCATTCATTGCCGTGGTGATATTTTCTTTTACTATGCCTATGACTAGTAAATATTGTCCTAGTATTTAATGCAATATTAATTTGATGATAACTAGCTTGGAATTTCAAGTTAGTGTTTCGCTTAATTTTTTTAACATATCTACAAAACAATTTTTTTATTGTACTGTAGAGTGCTGATGTGCTATGGATTGAGATTTGTATTCACATAATACACTACCGGGATGGTAGTCAATTTATTTAGTGAATTTCTCAGTATTTTAAATATTTATGGTATGGTGTAGTGAATCTCACATGTTAC